AAAAATCGGTGAAAAAAAGTCACACATTTTGTTAACAATCAGCTAAATCAGATTCTCATAAAAAATATTCGTTTTGCTAAAAAAATGAAAGAGGCTTATAAAACCTATTAATAAGGGAGTTTCAAAATATTTCTTGAAAAGGTACCATTTAAAACAATTAAAATATAAGCTGGTATGAAAATATAATGTTTATTGTTATTTTATTTGTGTTAAATCGTTTCAGTTCAGGTCAAAAGCACCTGCTAGATTGTCTTATTATACTTGCTTGATTATTTGCGTATTTGCTTGTTTATTCATGTAAGTGACTTTATATAAGATTAAATAAATGTTTTTAATGTGAAACGTTTTAATTTATAAAAAATAGGCAGTAAAAGTCTCCCCATATTGAATCTTGTTCCAAATCAAAACACGTCTTTCATCAGCAAGGAAAACCTATTTTGCTTATTCATCCTTCAATATGTATTTCCGCGAACTAATGTTTCATTTGCCGCGAAACTGCTCGGCCTGGCGCTCATTCCGAATTCTTACACTGTTTACAGATTTACGACTTAAATATTAAATATTTACAGAGATCGTAAATTATATATTGAATGATTTTACTGCGAATTGAACTTATCTTCTTGTCAAGCCGGTTTCTTACAGATATTTCTCGTTACACCAAAGCAGTTACATACAAACATTTCCTGACTTCATGAAGAGTTTTTATGACTAAACTCTGTAGCAAATACAATGATTTTCATTTACGAATCTGTGTTTATGAGCTTATAAGACCTTTTCTCTTTGACAGTTTCTGAAAGTTATCGAAAATCGTATAAAACATAAAAGATAGCAGGGTACGTTGTGTTATCGTATATTTTGGCTGCAAATGTTAAGTGGAAAGAGTAACAAACTGTTTTATAGGAAAGAAACATAATGAAATACTCTTCATGGCGTCTTAAATCAAACCTTACCCTCTTGAAAGAAGCATCACATGAGCCAATTCATTTTAATATCAAAATTATCTGAAGAGTGTATTTTTACGAAAATATAAATGATAAATACGGTAAAAATATAGTATAAAGTATATAACACAAAGCAAATTGTAGAGTACAACCGTCCGATATTATAACTTTAAAGAAATAAAGAGTACAAAAAGATATAATTTGTGAAACTCCTAAATTCTTCAGCTAAGAACAACTTTCACATTTATCGAACATTTTAAGAAATACCGGCCATCAGTTATTTTATGTAGGACCTGCTTTTCTCAGAAGACACAAATTTAATTAAGAAGAAATGTAAAAACTTTTCACCAAAAAACGTACATAGACCCTTCTCCATTATTTTGTTTATATTAAAAAGTTATTCCAGCGTTGTTTTCTTCAACTTTATAAAAAAGGACTGAGTATTCTTAAAAAAGTTTTTTTCAAAGAAACACAGACAGGAAATACTATTCCTTTGTCCTATTTCTTTTAAAAAACACTTTTAACAAGTGACTTATTTACATATATAAATTAACTTTATTTGGTTTAAAAAAATGTCTTTTATGGTTTATTTTTTATGTAAAGTTTACGGATAAGATTACATTATTTTCTCTGAAGGTGTTAATAGTTATTTAATAAGACTTTACTATAATATAAAAAAGAGATTATTAGAAATTCTAAATTAAAGCATATTTTCCGCCATATGAGAATCAAAATGGAGGATATTCTTAATGGATCGACTCCAGTAGCGTTACCATACAGTACATAGAAAATTATAAACATAAGTAACTCCCTTGCAGTAAGTAATCATAACAATCTTAATGCTACGTACTTGAAAAAAGTAATATTGTAACTCAGCACTTCAAATACAGAAGCAGATACTTAAAATGAGCTTAACAAAATAAATGATTCAAAACTACGTGCATTATTCAGGCTTTCTTGAGAGAAACTAGCTCCTAGAACTTATTTACATTCGGAACGTCCAAAAAAAAACAAAACAACTTCGGAAGTACATGCACAAAGAGAAGTATTTTGTTATTTCTTTTCTAATTAAACGTAAGAAAGTTTCATTAAATATCAAACATTGTTTGTAAATGAAAATTGTTGTTACTAAAACTCCTTTATTAACTGATTTATTGAACAAATTGTCTTTGTTCAAACTTTCGGCTAAGTCAATACTATGTTTATTTTGTTTCATTAAATTTCTTTCTTTTGGTATTTACTTAATTTAATATCGACTTTTTTATTAATCTTGATTATAAGAAAAAAATACAAATTTATTATATAATCAATTGATATTACTCATTTAAATTTTGGAATGGTTTTAAACCCATTTCAATTTCAAATTCTATACGACATAAATCGATCTCACTTCAGCTAAGTTCCTGGCTCTAAAATATATTTTGGTGATCGCTAAATTCGACCTTAATCTGTTGTTGTTTAATAAGTAAGAAAAACATACGCAGTCCCCATTCACAATATTGTAGTTTAAAATATATATCTCCTTGCAGCCATTCCGTAAATGTGCAACGTTTATATGAACGACTTTTCTACTTTTAAAAATGGCACATATTACCATCATTGCTCTGCTTGTACTTCCAAATATATCTTAGCTTTATGTCTCGTATAAAACAAGTATTATACTTGATAAATATTCGAGTCAACATAAAATGGCTTAAAATTGAAAGCAAAACTTAGTAATATTAAAATCGAGTAACTTTTAACCCTATTTTACAAAGGTTCTTAAGAATGAGGATACTTCGCTAAACTTATTTAGAGTGAACTTACGACATCCTCGCAGATTTTATTGAGTTAACAATTTTGATCCACAAACTCGTTAGAAGCTAAGTGGGACTCGAGCTGACCTAAAGACCTCCTATACATATCTGACTCTCGTCGATATTCATAATTATAATACAAGATATTGGAAAACTAATTATTAAGGAGATCAAAAACAATAATAAATTTGATACCTACTTAAGTAATAATTTAAAATGTCTAAATAACCAAAAGGGAACTCTTTGTGTCATACTTGCAATCGGGTTGAACTCTATTGCATCATCTTAAAGAACTTGAAAGATAAAAATCGTAACAGACTTAGATTTATAAGTATCAAAAAAACATATACATATCTTATATATGTAAAAGACAATACTTTCATAATAACGTAATAGTTAAATCATCAAGTAAGCATAAAATAAGTCAGTGGTGGCCTAGTGGTTAAAACGCAAGCCTCTCATTGCCGAGAGCGCGGATTTAAACCTGGCAAGTATCAATGTAATTTTTCGGAGTCATATGTACTTTCTGAGAGTATTTAGTCACCCCTGACATACGGTGAAGGAAAACATAGTGAGGAAACATAGACTTATAGTTTCACAATTATAAGTTTGAAATCGTCAACCCGTCTTGAGCAAGCATTGTGAAACCTTCTCCATGTGAGAAAGAGGCCTTTGCTCAGCAGTGGGCTTAGATAGGCTGATGACTAAACCATAAAATTTATTCAATACACATGTCATTATATCCCTAATTAAATATAATTTGAATTATTGTCATAATCACTTTTTGTTTGAAAAATCGAATATTTCTTTCTTAAGTATGTATATTGTTCCTATTACACATTAAAAAAAAATTTCGCATGTCCAGGCATTCCTTTGTCTACTGAGATGAGATTGTCACACGAGATGCAATTCACCGATCTGATTATTATAAATTCATTCGATTCTAAGATATAAAACCTTTTTTTATTAAGAAGCTGAATGCAAAACCATGGCAATTTTTTTTATTATACGCTTGCATTATTTGACTTTAAATTATTTTAAAGTAAACTATTTACTTCTAAACAAGCTTTTATTCGACTTAATATCAGCAAGTTCTTTCATTTCATATCCATATTGTGGGAGTGTATTAAAAATATCATGTTCGCCATCTTGCATGTTCCGCCATCTTGACGGAATAAACTCACATACATAACCGTACATTAACATTCGAACTAAACGTGAATACAAATTTCAGTTCAATCGGTTGAAGATATCTTCAAAGTTGAGTGCAAGATCCATTCAAACAAACATAATTATGTGCACACAAACATAACATATTGCAAACTAAATAAAACCTTGTGTAATTCATCAATACTACAGGCGGTCCTCGACTTACGTCGTTTCGATTTACGTCGTTTCAAGTTACGTCGAACAATGTTTTGACACTATTCCTCAAGCATACGTCATTTGTTTCGATTTCCGGCATATCGGAGAATTCACTTGTCGCAAGGTCAATGTCCGTGAGGGGCGCGGTGTCGTCTCGTGCGGGGAATACCCCGCAAAGGTCGCTGATTTTGTTTAGTACATTCAGGGACAACGGAGAATCAAGACGTAATAAATTAGTTTTTTTGCATCTTTGACAGTTTTTGTGTTTACATACATATTTAAGTGAATTTTAAACAATGCCACCTAAACAAGACAGTAATAATAAAGTGAAGAAGAGAGTAAGAAAGTCAATTACAATGGAGGTTAAATCTAAGATTTTAAAACTCAAAGATCGCGGTTATTCGACTTCATCTATTGGACGAGAACTTAATTTATCACGCACGACGGTACAAACAATATTGAAAGATAAAGAAAAACTCTTAACAGCTCTTCCTTCCGTCTCTTCAAACAGCACTATTATACGCAAAAGGAATGCTTTAATTTATGAAATGGAAAAACTGTTGTACAATTGGATTCAAGATCAAACTCAGCGACGGGTTCCTCTAAGTTTGGCTATTATACAAAATGATGGCACTGAGTATCATCAACACACTGCAAAATAAACGTGGCGAGAATAATAGTGACGAAACAAAATGTTTTTCTGCCAGTCGCGGATGGTTCATGCGCTTTAAAACGAGATATTCGTTACATAACATTCGAGTGCAAGGAGAAGCTGCTAGTGCCGATCATGTGGCTGCTCAGAGTTTTCCTGGAATATTAAAGGAAATTATCGAAAGTGGAGACTATTCGCCTAAACAAATTTTTAACGTGGACGAAACTGGTTTGTTTTGGAAAAAAAATGCCCTCTCGTACTTTTATATCACAGGAAGAAAAGTCTATGCCTGGATTTAAAGCGGCTAAAGATCGTTTGACGTTGTTATTGGGTTCGAATGTTGAAGGTGATCTTAAATTGAAACCCCTTTTAGTTTATAGGTCTGAAAATCCTCGAGCTCTCAAAAATTACGTCAAGAGTACTCTTCCAGTTATATGGAAGGCTAATCCAAAGGCATGGGTTACATCAATACTTTTTGAAGAATGGTTTACTAAGCATTTTATACCTGAAGTGACACAGTACTGTTCAAACAATAATTTGGCTTATAAAGCTTTACTTATTTTGGACAATGGTCATCCTGTGCGTATTGCCGATATTGATCCTCAAATCAAAGTCGTGTTCCTGCCTCCCAACACCACTTCGTTGTTACAGCCGATGGATCAAGGAGTTATCGCGTCTTTTAAGGCCTATTATCTCAGGAGAACTTTTTCACAGGCTGTAAAGGCTAATGAAAATGATGGCATGGAGCTGAGAGATTTTTGGAAAAGTTATAATATCCTGCAATGCGTAAAAAATATTGCTACTTCATGGGATGAGGTGACACCTAACAATTTAAAAGGAGTGTGGAAAAAGTTATGCCCATTTTTTTTTGAGCCATCTGAAAGTTCTATATCTACAGATCAACCAAATGTCGATGAGATCACAACTGACATTGTTCATTTGGCTAACCGTTTGCCTGACATTGCAGTTACTACTGATGATATTGATGATCTGTTAAGCTCACATTCGCAAGAACTGACTGATGAAGATCTTATTCAATTGGAGGCACAAGTACAAAAGGAAGCACTCGAGTCACAAGAAATAGCTTCTTCTATTAGTGACTCTGAAAAAGAACTTACACTAAAAAAACTTTCCGTAGCCTTTGCAAATTTGAAGAATGCCATGAAAATTTTTGAAGAAAATGATCCTAATTTTGAGAGAAGTTTTAACGTTAATAACAAAATTTGTGCAGCCTATCACTGTTACCAAGATCTGTATGATAGCAAGAAGAAAGAAGCCAAGCAATCTAGAATTGATAGTTTCTTTAAGCCAAAAGTTTAATTTATTATTTATCATTACATATGTATAAGTTTTATAATTATTATTAAAATTAATAACACACAAATACCAAAAATAACTAGCAATTTCATAAGTGCATAATATATAATTATTTTAAGAACTTACTTTTAATAATAAAGTACGTCCTTTGTTATAAATGCAGTTTTTTTTATTATTTCGAGTCCGTGTGGAACCTAACCCTTGAGTTTTACATGTAAACATATGAAAAAATATGTCTCGACTTACGTCGTTTCGATTTACATCGCGTATTTCAAGAACCTAACATGCCGTAAGTACGAGGACTGCCTGTAATAGTTTACCTCAGTTCATTTGTATTTACTGTAGATCGATTAGGCATCAAACTATTTATCCTCAAAGTAATAATAAAACTTTCAAAATTCAATACCAGATAAGTCGTTATATCTTATAAACAAGCATTTATGTTATGCCATTAAAACCGTTGTTTAAATATAGCTCGTAAAACAATACGATTATATCAAATTTGTACTGATAAAATTTTGAAATGTTTATGTAAACCTTCCTATACTTTATACCCAAATCCTGGTCATCGTCAAAGCTACAGGCTTCACAGCATTTTTACTAATTAAACGCCACCCAGTGTAAGTTTCTAAGTACCTAGAATGAATTACCCCTTCCCCTAAGCAATCCTAACTTTATCCGAAGTTTGCTTGGCCTCGTTAATTACGCCGTTATGTTACAATTACCCCCTACATAATGAATCGTGTTAAGATAGCTGTATCGAGCGCCCGCGGATATTGTTACCCTTTACTTAATCTCGACTCAAGATTTACATAAGAACATACAAAGAATTTTACTCATATACGTTTGTATTCAACGGATTTTGTGTCTTAAGAATAGTATGAATAGTAAGCTAATAGGATTTCGTTAATTTATTAATTTTACGTCTCCTTTGAGGCATTTCAGCTTTATAAATAAATGTACGTAAAATGTTTCTGTTCTAAATAGGTCATAACGAATTTACACACTCACGTGGAAAGTCTTTTTTTACAAAAACAAGCTAGTAACAGCATCATGTTTTTTAAAGTGCAAACTGGGATCACGTTATATTTATATTTTAACATATTTTATATGTTTACAATAAATATTCGACGATACTTTATATAATTTGTATTTCATCAATATTTTGATATGGATATAAGTATAGATTATGATAAATAAAACGATGTTTTTTTAGTACACACAAAACAGGTTCTATATTTGGAAGACTATTAAATAAATTAAAAAAATATCGAAAGTATGACTTGAAAGTCCAGATACAAATAATAAATAAATAAAATATTCAAAATTTTAATGTTTATAATTAATATCAGCTGAAACCCCTCATCAATGTCTGAATATAAATATGCCTTAAAAAATTTTGTACATTTTATTCTGACAGCTCTACAACACCGATATTATTTTCCACGAAAGATTCAAAGTCAAAAACATTCCTCAATAATTAACCATCACTTGTAAATGTTCGAAATAAAACTATACAGTTTTTCGATAATTAAAATTTTATAAATTAATCACATTGTTTTAATAATAATAATTTTAATTTATTAATCATTAGTTACTTGTATAGCGCTCGCTAACAAACTGTTTCGACACGTCGGAGCAGAAGCAACTTTAGTAATAACATTTAGTGAGAATGTGCGTACAAGCTTTGTAGCTCGGCTGTTACTTAATAACTTTATAATTAACAATATTATCGTACGTTAAAGGTGCACTTCTAGTATCTAATAAGGTAACTTGACACAATAAACTGAAATGTGTTTGGGCTATCAACATTAAATGCACATTATTCATGAAGAAATAAATGGTTGATATTTTTGTTCTTGCCACGAGCAAGGCAGTATTATTTATTAAACAACGCCAGGCTTAAATCATTGTATAGATATCTTACAATAAATTACATTACTGACTCCGCGAAACAAAAACCTGGCCCTGTGATTCAGAAGATTAAATAAAGATTATTAAGAAGATTAGATAATATATGTAATAGAATTTCTCCCCTAACATCGATGCAATCATGTAGTTTTAGTTTATAAGTTTTAATGATGTTATTTTCATTATAAGTAACTTTCGTAGTTTTACCGCAACCTCTAGCTGACAAAGAAACTCAACTATATACCTAGTCGCTACTTAAGAATCATGGATACAAGAATTATTATTTAAAAAAGGTCGGAAGGCTTCATATTGATAATACTTTTTTATGGCAGGTAACAATACTTTATAGGTTTAAGCTTTATATATTTATTTATTGAAAGTAATGTACAGATTAAAAAATCTACATGCTAAATGCTGTCAAAATTTTTTGTAATGTCATTTGGAATAGATTCTGTTTAGAGAAAAAGAAAAAATAAACTTTAAATGAAATTGTTATCGGCTGTCAAATAATTAATTTACAAATCGAAGTTTCTCAGCTTATCTAATTGTTAATATTTCTAAATAAATTAATATGTCGTTTAATGATATCCTAGTTATAAATTACAGCTGTCAATTTGTGACAACGTAAGCCACAAATCATATCAAATACCTATATATGTATATACACATGCCTTGCGATCAATCGTTACCTGCAAGTGACGCAAACATACATATATGTTATATACATATATTATAACGTTATTTATTTTACCTACATAAATAAGTTGATTTAAAAACAGCAAAAGGATTCATGTAAAATTATTCCGTTATTTTCTTTATGACAGATACCCAATATATTTTACTTTTAAAATATTTGTAGATAATAATAATAAAACCTTTTTGCGGCGGTTTTTTTTGGAACGTAATTTTAAAATTTAATTAAAGTAAAATGTGTTGGTTTGGAGAGTGAAGGTGTTTTTTTGCATAGCGCTACAAAAGAATATTTTGTTGTTTTTTTTCTTCTAAAACAACAATGTATAATACGCCATTTTTTATGTTATGTGTATTGCTGTAAGCCCTGCGGCTTTTAGGGCGTCACCGGTAGAATGGGCGAGTGCTGAGACTGAATGAAATATTGTATTAAAAGTTATTATAATCATTGTAAACATTAAGCCATAAACAAGAAATCAACGTACATTTATATTATATCACTTCGCGATCATGTTTCGACACTCAACTCAACAAAAAATATTCTTTATTATATGAATCAATCGCAACCGATACTTCATAACAACATAACTGTATTAGCGGTGATGGATTTGAAGTGAATCAAATAACCGATTGAATATTAAACAGGATTTTTAAATATGGGTAACGTCCCTCATATCCATGTCCTGATTCCAAACGAAGTAAGCCCCTGTCACGTTTCCCGCCAAAGTGGTTCCCGCCAAGCGACGCCATCTTGAAACGTGACGCCCGACAAGCTCGTTGACGCTTTCCTATTTAAATGCTTTTATTCATCAGCAATTTTTACTCAAACTTAGACCCTAATTTTCTGAAGGGCTCATTGTTTTTAATATAATGAGAATTTTTAATTGAAAACAACAAAATACACTATTATGTTTTTTATACGGTTGTACTGTATTCCATTTTAAAATCTTTTATGATTGATGTATGTAGACTCCGCAGGTTAAGTTCTTACTAATGAAATTTTTTGTTATTTTTATTAAAATAATAATGTGTTTTACTATAGATTGTTATTTTTTTAACATACTGTTTACATGAAACCTTCTTTTATTGATTTATGATGCTTAAGCAATTATTTAGTGTCGATTTCAAGTTTATAGTAGTACCGGTAGTGTGGTATTACGTTTCTAACAGGGGTGCTCGATATCAGTAAGTTCAGCTCTACTTACAATGGACAATTTGATCCCATATATATACTGGGAGCAGAGATAAATTCTATTCCGAATGTTTTCCTTGCTGTAAAAATATGTTACTATACTATATAACTTGTAGAAAATAAAATAGGTTATTTATATCATTCCTTTGTTTTCACATAAATACAAATAAATTACTACTTATCAAAATGTACGTCTACCAATTATTCTTAAAGAGACTTACTTATATTAATAATTACGTTCCTATAATAAGTAATATTTTTCCCATAACTAAAATATATTTGTCTTATCATGTATGTAATACGATATTGTTGAAACAAAACAGAATTGAAATAATCATTTACTTACTAAACAGGAAAATGAATTGCTTAATAGTTTTAACATTATTTTCACAACCAGAAATGCTAAGCTTAGGTATAATAACCAAATTAAAAATGTAGGCTGTAAACTATTATACAGAACCTATGATATATACATATTTTTTAAAAATGTTTTTACTTAAATCCCATCCCCCATTTCCGTATTGTACGCTTTAAGCTCTTTACGCGCTTTATTCCATACAAATAAAAACCACTTAAAATATTACATCACTATGTAGCTGCTGGAATATTATTTTTTATATAAAGAGTATAAGTATTGAAATACTGAATGTATTATTTCAATGCTTGAAACATTATGCTCGATTAACTTGCTACAGATTACCGATTTTACGTTACGTTACGTAAGCAATAAGCATTATTTACGTAAGTATAACGAGTTAATACTGCTTAATAGGTTAATAAACAAAATGTTAATACGGAATTATATGCGACGCGAATTTGAATTTAATAATAAGACTTGAAATTTAAATTTTCTTATAAAAAAATGGTATAAATACTTTTTTATTCTGATTACAATAACAGTCGAAGTGTAACCTCTTTGGTCGTTTATTATATTATCTGTGTATTCGCTCGTAAATCAGTGACGTATTACTTGTAACAAACTGCTAAATTTAACATTTAGCTATAATGAGATAACAAATACCATTTCAGCTGAGTCTGATACATTTTCAATGGTATCATCAGTTTGTAATGAAAATTTACTACGACATTAATTTGTATTGCACAAATACTATATAAATTGATATATATATATAACTGATCTAAATTCTATATAAGTGTCATCTTAATAAAGAATTCATTCATATTTATAATTTGTTTGAAATATAATATGTATTTGTTTCTTTGTCTCCTTCAATATTACTATATGATTCCAATTAAAAGATTACCGGATTGCGCCCTATTTTTGCGCCCGATTACGAAAACTTATCTTAAAACTATAAAAATATATAAAATCTATAGATTCATACTATATTTATAAAACGCGTGTATGTTTATTTTACTTGAGGGTTTCTAGTTTCTACTGTGAATGGATTATATACGTGTATTTATTTTATATTTAAATGTATACCTTATATTTAAAAATTAACCTTTATGTGATTTGTTAAGGAAAGCATCATAAACAATGCGTGAAAGTTGTACAGATATGATCCAACGAAACAAAATAAATTTGGTAAATAAACTGACTTGTACTGACTTATGATGTGATAACGTCTACCCGTATCACCTACTAATGATAAAATCACTGACTTAATTAACCTCGAGTCATAAAATCAGGAGCAGAAGCGGTGAGAATTATTATCAAGAATATTTAAATTATATACATTATTTCAAAACAATATTCGTAAATTAAGACATTATTTTTATTTAGATTTATAATACTTTTGTTAGGAAGTGTAAATGATAGTGCTGCTCATTGATTTTCTATCAAATTTTGATGTCTAAGGAGATCTTATAAGCAAAATAACTTAATACATTTAAATAGAAAGATAGAAAACTATAGCTAAGCTATAAAAGTCATATGCACCTTCCTAGAATAGATATACTTCAAGGTTACTCTTAGGTTTAATCTTGTTATTTAGTCTGTACATACTCTCAAATAATCAATGTTCAAGTACATACATTCAATACATAGTTATCAGTCACTCGCAGTGCTAAGGGGGATTGTAATTACGGACTTCTTTCAACCCTTTATGTAGATCATGACAGTGACAGCTTATGTCACGTTCACAAATGTTCATTTATATATTTGACACTTGAAATAATGTTTAAAGATTGTAATCAAAATAAATACATACGTAAAACGTAATATTATTATTATTTATATCAAATATAATGTGCAAATAGTATTTTTATATGTTATACAGATAATAATAAGATTTTTTTTAGTCATGGCATCCAAGGAGTATTCATTTCAAATATTCTTACCTCCAATAACAAATACCAAAAAGTATTTATTGTATAAATATGTTTAATGTCACGAAAATATCTGAAGGCAACACTTAGAATGTTGGATTAAGAGGCTATATTTTGTCAGCGTTCACTTGTTTATCTTTAATAATTCACGTTATCCACTTCAACGTTAAATTTCATACATTTTATGTATGTACGATAAATATCAATTTGATATTCATAAATCTCGAACATTAAATCGCCTTTTATGTCATAACCGTTATACCAATACATTGTAAATATTCATATTTATTATTTATTCTGAGCTCGGTTTTATAAGACGTATTCTTTATTAGCTTTTAAAGTATAACATTGTATAACAAACATACTAGTTTCTTAGAAGTAAATGGCATTTGATTTGTTAATAAAATTGTATATCAAAGTGAATGAAGGAAATAACCAAACAAAGTATTAAATTGCAAAGATTTTTCCATGTTAAATACTAATATCGTAAGTACTTTTATATTTATAAATCATTATATTATTATACTACGTAATATGAATATTATATATGAGCAAAGCATATAAATATATGTGACAGAAAAAAATATAAAAAATATTTTACACTGGCAACACTGTCGAAAAATACCTGAAATATTTGAAAGACTATAAGAGGTAATCATTGTATTATGTTTA